GCCTGTGTTCTTGGCAAGCAGGAGAGAACTGCTAATCTAAGCTCCATGTGGGGCAGCATTTAACCATGACCTTTAAATTATTTCAAGAACTGTTTCCCAGGGTACTCTGGAGCTGCTCATGGTTCTCTTCTACACAGGAGCCCAGGAAAGAGCTGCTGGGGGTGACAAAAGGGAGCTTGCTGGGAAGAAGCAGAAACCAAGTAAAGCACATCCTGCAAGGTGGTGTAAAATCCACAATGACAGAACAGCCTCTTGCTGAGGAATCTCCACGTTCCTGCCTTGGAGCTGCTGCACCCCAAGCTCCTGCAGGCAGCAGCTCTGCCCCATTCCACGTGCTGCTCTGCTGACATCTCCAGTTCAGGCAGGCAAAACTGGAGATGCAGCTCAACCTTCAAGCCAAAAAACCCCTCTCCCAGCCTAGAAGAACCCTTACAGACACCGCAGACCCACCTCCCGGGGCAGGAGCTGCGTGACCTGCAGCCCCAGACGCCAAGAGCTGTCCTGCAGCACCATTTCCTCCTGCTGATTTCAAAGGAATCTGGGGCAGGTAAGGATTTCTCTCGATGTCTTTCTGGACAAACAGCTGCTGCTGTGGTTCAGCTTTGGGGTTTCTCTGCAAGGCACTGACTGGTTCACATCTCCCAGGCACTTTTTGCAAAGCCTGCTTCTCATGCGCGTGCCTCCCTTCAGGTGATATTTGTCACATTCCTGCTATGGGAATGTTTTTGCCTCCTGACAATACCCTTTAGATAGTGCCTATGGAGGTGGATGACTCAAGCTTGACATGATTATCTCCATCCACCACTTTTTTTTATTAAAAATACTCCGAACGTGAGGCCAGGAGGTGGTTTGAGGAGGGACGTGGAAACCGCAGAGTCGGCACAAACCACGCCAACAGTTCCATGTCACCCAACAGCAGCCAGGAAATCTATATGTAAAACAGCCCCTCCCAGCCTTAGTGTAGAAAACCAGCCCCTCCCAGCCTTGATTTATAATGTCATGCCCAGAAACCTCTGAGCACACGGCGATAACTCCGATCCAAAACCCCGCCGTGCTTTGCAGCCCCTCAGAGGCAGGTTATGGATGTGCTGCCACTTCCAGCTTCGTCATTTGGTGGCTGCTAACAAAGTTAAGGAGCTCCTAATATGGCTTGGTGCAAGTTAATTCCCCTTCTGTGACGGTGACAGCTCCTAAACACCCTCACACTACTACAGAGCCACAAAGAGAACCACAAATAGCAGCGTGGCTGCTCGGAATAGAAGAGGCATCAGCAGTGACCTGTTATCTCTCCAGCCTCTTCCCTGGCTGCCAGAACTGTGTTTAAAGCAGGATGGAAAAAAACCAGAGCCCAGTTCAAGTTGACAGATGGCTGATGGAAGTCTGGGAGGTTTTCAGAGGGGAAAATTTACTCTGCTCTCGTTGGATCCCACCTGGAATAGTGGGGGCAGTTCTGGTGCCCCCAACGAAGGAGGGACATGGAATTGTTGGAGCAAGTCTGGAGTTGGTAAGAGGACCTCACCTATGGAGACAGGCTGGGAAAATTGGGATTGTTCAGCCTGGAGAAGAGAAAGCTCTGGGAGACCTGAGAGCCCCTTCCAGGGCCTAAAGGGGCTCCAGGAGAGCTGGAGAGGGACTGGGGACAAGGATGGAGGGACAGGACAAGGGGCAATGGCTTCCCACTGCCAGAGTTAGATGGGATATTGGGAAGGAATTGTTGCCTGTGAGGGTGGTGGGGGCTGGGGTGGAATTCCAAGAGAAGCTGTGGCTGCCCCATCCCTGGAAGTGTCCAAGGCCAGGTTGGACGGGGCTTGGAGCAACCTGGGCTAGTGGAAGGTGTCCCTGTCCCTTGCAGGGGGTGGGACTGGATGAGTTTTAAAGTCCCTTCCAACCCGACCTGTTCCATGATTCAAAATATTTCTTAGAAAAACCAGTCAGAGAAGAGGCAGAGCAGCACCTTAAGCACACTGGATGTCCATCCCAAAACCTGGACTCCTTTTCTCTTACATTACTAGAAGCCAGAACTATTTTTTCATTCCCTGATCTCCATATTGTCCCTCACCCATCACCCTCAGGCTGCAAACAGGGAGAACTCAGTATTCACTGCAGGGAGACAGGCTGTGTTCCAGCCTGTATTCCAGTCAGGCTGCACAGATCCTGCAGCATCCCAGAGCCCACAATTCCAGAAATCCTTCCCCAAGTGCTGAGACAGGCAATGCTAGACATGGAAAACAAAAAAAGTCTGCTGGAAAAACCCCAGCAGATCAGGCACTTGTTGGAGCCCTGAGCGCAGAGGGAACATTACAGAAAATTCCCACTGACTTCCCCAGCTTCAAACCTTTCATAATTTAATACGTGTGACTGGAATTTCTCAATAGGCTGGAACTCCCTCAGGAGCAAAATCTCATTGAAAAAGAAACCAAGGAGAATTTTGGCATCTCTTTCCCAACCCTGCAAGATTAAATGCAAATATCTTATTGGCATCGAGCTATCACAGCTTGATATATCCACAAAGCTCCCATACCCTGACATTAACTTCTCAAGGAAGAACATTTTGTTACTCACCCTCAGACAGTTTATGCTTAAAGGCAGGAAGACTAATTCTGTTTTAGGTTGGGCAGTGAACAGTGGTACCTTCCCCAATTACCAGCACACCCAGGCACTGATCTGGTATTAGTGACAAAGCACAGCAAGATAGAGATGCTGCCTTAATGTTAAACATAAATTCCAGAGGCTGTGTGCTGCTGGCTGGCACACAGAAAACTCTCTGCAGCTTCTTATGCTGCTCTGCCTTTAGCAGACACGAATCAATTTGGTGTCACTTCTGTGTTTGCAGGTGGAAAAAAACGGCCCGAGGTTGAGCTCTCCTCAGAACCAGGGCACGTCCTCCTGGCAGAGCCACAAAGCCCTCGGAAAGAAGGGCTTGTGGAGCACAGGGCTGTCGGGAAAATAATCTGGCTGAATTCTAGCAGGAAGCCCCGTGCTTAACAGGCAGGAAATAAATGGCTGATTAGTTAAATCTCCCGGAGAACGAGGGGGATGCTCTTTGTGCCCGGAGCTGAATGAACCCTCCCGCTCGGAGCTCGGCGCTAATGGGGCACCGGCCGCGCTGGATGGGAGCGGGACTTGCATTAACAGCGACTCGGGCAGCTCCCTCACACCTAACTCACTTCATTTGCCTTAATTAAGGGAGATGAGCCGCGCTGCTCCGCAGCCTCTGGAGTGCTGGGGAAGGTGGGGCCCTTCTCCCGCAGCTGCTGCTCCCACCCTGCAGGGAAAAGGGATGGCAGAGGGTTGGCGGAGCCTGCAGAGTCCAGCGTGGGTCAGGGAGGCACGGCAAGGATGGAGATGAGCTGGGCTGCCTTCCCACGTCCAGCCACAGGTCATTTCTGTGCACACAGCAGGGAGACAAACCAGGGACGAGTATCCCCAGTGGGATGGGATGGCCCTGGCAGTGTGTCCCAGCCCTGGCAGTGTGTCCCAGCCCTGACAATGTGTCCCAGCCCTGGCAGTGTGTCCCAGCCCTGATGCCACTTCATAGAGTCATGGGATCATGGAATTATTAAGGTTGCAAAAGACTTTCAAGATCGTTGAGTGGAACCTTTGACCAAACACCACCCCTTGGATCAGCTCTTGACAGTTGTCTGCAAATCCCAGTTACAGCAGCTGTGCTCTGACCAGGGTTGGCATAACCAAAAACCTCCTCGTTGTCTGTGTTTTGAATGAACTGCAGGACCTGATCTCACCTCCTGTCACAGGGACAACAGCAAAGCTTCACCTGCAACACAGCTTGGCATCTCTAGGATGCAGAGAAGCTGAGTCACCTCAGTTCAGCTGAACTTCAATCTTCAAGCCAAGCTCCTGTGCCCCAGAAGAGCCCAGGACAGGCCCTGGGCAGTCCTGAGGTCTGAGCTGAGCTGCCCTGAAAGGGGTTCCTCGTGTTGCATCTCTCCCCTGAGCTGCCTTCTCACTCACTAGGGAGGAGAAAACCCTGTTTGTATCAAAGATAAGTTAATTCAAAGCTCACAAACCCAAATCCAAAGACTTGTAAACCGAGCTCTGATTTACAAAAGCACACGTGAAGAGGGGGAGGGTGAGAAGAAATGTTTGCCAAACTTCCTCCAGCCTTCCCTGGAAGGACCATTTCCCCCTTGCACCCTTCCCCTGATCATTTCCTCCTGGAGTTCTCCATCAAGGCCACTCATTATGATCATGGCTTGTACCAAATGTCCACTGGGAAGCAACCCAAGAGCTTCAGTTTGTTCCACAGCACTCAAAGCCCAGCTGTCCACAACATTAACTTTTGCTTAGAAAGGACCCTGGGGAGCCACAAATCATCTACAAAGGAGACCTTCCCACCACAAACCAGACTGGGAGTCTACCTGGCCACACATCCTGTCTGCAGGGCAGGAGGGATTAGCAACAACCAGCTTCCAGGGAGAAAATGATGGGATCCTACAGGCAGCAGATGGGGATAACCCTCCTGATGGCCTTTGCCAGCCTGAGGCCAGTCTGTGCTCCCAATCACTGACCTGTGAAAGGGAATTTTAAAGCCCTTCCCAGCTTCTTAAGCCACAAGCTGCCTCCACATGCATCTTGTTATATTGAGACACAGAGAAACCTCACTTTTGAAAGGCCACAAAGCAAACGAGACGACTCGGAAGGGACAGACTCAGCTCTGCAGGTTCCAGGAAAGCTAAAAGCACCTTTGCAACACACATTAGCCTAAACTTTCTCTTGCACTTTTGCCCATAAAATGCAGCCTTCCTGTCTCAAAAAGCTGCCTTCTTGACTTCTTGACCTTGTCCTTCTTGCCCCTCAGAAGGACAAAATCCGAGCCTGAAATCACTGCCCGGCTCTCCACGCTCGGGGACCTTTTCTCTGTGCACGACCTGCTGAGCCATCCCTTCCTCCTCACTCCACAGGGAGAACACCCGGTGACAACACCGTGGAGAAAGGTGAATTTGGAAAAGCAACTTGGGAAACCCCCCGGATTTGCTCACCATCCAGCTCCTCCACGGAGATGTTGGCGAGCTGTTCGCTGTCGCTGCCGGCGGAGAGCGAGCGGTTCAGGTAGTTGCCCTTGTACAACAAGCCAGCTGTCACATGGTGGAATGGCATCTTCTCCCTGGGAACGAGAGGAAAGGCAAAAGAATGGTTTGTTGGAATTGTTTGGCGCTGTTTTATCGGAATGGTACAACAGCAGTGTGTGCCTTGAGGGAGTAGCTGGGCCGAAGCATCCCTGGCGAGGTTGGCGCGTGACTGATGGGCTGCAGGTTTGATTGAGGGCCTGAGAGAGGAGCTAAACAAACAAAAATGCAGCTGCTGCTTCCTGGTGATGAAGAAGAGTGAGCAGAGACAGAGTAGCAGGAAAAGAGGACTCTCTAGCACTCGTATGGCAGCTTTCAGCCTCCAGATTTGCTTCTTCGTAATGGTTTCATAGTGCACGGGGGTCTGCCTTGACATGCAATTAAAAAATTTGAAAAGATTCCATAAGATCATGGAATTATAGAATGGTTTGGGTTGGAAAAGACCTTAAAGCTCATCTTGTTCTACCCCCCTGCCATGGGCAGGGACACCTTCCCCTAGACCGGGCTGCTCCAAGCCCTGTCCAACCTGGCCTTGGACAATCCCAGAAATGCAACATCCCCAACTAGATCCAGCAGCACAACTTTCAAAGCCCTCCAAGAGCCTGGAGACCATCTCTCAGACCCTGCTCTGGAGCTTCCAGGCCCCTGAGGTGGTTTAACCCCCCACCCAGGGCACCCTCCCTGAGCGAGGTGCTCGTCACCACCAGTTCCTGGGCTCCAGACTTCAGTGAGAAGAAGAAAGAAGAAAATTCCCATTCGGGCAGGGCCCAACAAAGAACATTTTCACCTCCCAACTGTGACAGGGAAGGAAAAATACTGCTCAACAGGAGGCTGGAGCAGCAGAGTGTTTGCAAACTTCGCAGGTATAAACACGGCAGCAGAGTGAAGGGCAGCCATCTGCACAGACAAAAGTGGGAATTACTGTCAGCAGCACTTACACATTGATTTAGGATACACAAGTAAGAGGCAAGTTTGCCAAAGTCAATTGAAATATTAAGAGGGAGATTTGTCATCCCCTTGGCTGGATCCAGGCAGCACAAACCCATTGTGGGCCTTTCTGTTCCATGTTTCCAGTGGATATAAATCAGCAGAGCCACACCAACATCCCCCGGGATCCGGCCCAGGGGCTCTGCAGGGGCTGGAAGGTGGCCAGGACACCCTGGGCACGGTTTGAAACCCACCATTAATATCAATTTATGCTTTGGCACAACCCCCTCTTGTCCCTGGGGGTCACAGCCCCTTGGAAACAAACTCCAAGGGCATCCTTGCTGTAGCCATGGAACATCCTTGCCTTGCCATAAGTGCCACCTCCTGAATCCTTCTCCAGCCAGCACTCCAATTACAAGGATGATCTGGCTCTTACTCAGCCATATGTTCCTACCACAGTCAATAAAACAAATCTATATCCACATCTATATGAATTAATTTTGTAACAAATGCCTCCTTGCCTCACTGAGTCAGGAACAGCTTCAAGAGACTCCCCAAGAGCAAAATAACCTGGAGACACTGGGAAGCAAAGAGGAAAAGCCATGAGGCTTCTCTTGCACTGCTCAGCACGTCCCTGGAATTTCTCTGGCAGTAATTATGTAAATAAATCCTAATCGTAACTTTAAGTATTTTTATTTGGGAGCCAGTTCCTTCAGCAGCACATTAGAAACCGTAAACAAGGTTTTCTTTTTCATTAAGCACATCTGTAATTTCCCAGCACTTGCCAATTAATGTGTTTCCTTGGGATCTCTTGCTGGCTCTGACATATTTTTCTCAGCACTAAGGTGGGAATTTTACCTTTCTTAGTTTCCAGGCCCACCACAAAGTGTTCAGGGAATGCTAGATCCTTGTTTTCTCTTGAAAAACACCCCAGGGAATCACCGAATATCCCGAGTTGGGAGGGACCCCCAAGGACCATGGAGCCCTGCACAGGACAACCCCAAAAATCACAACATCCATCAACAGGGTTTTCAAAACCCCGTTAAATGAAAGGGGTTTAAATCCAACACGGGGACGGGCTTGCACTGCAAACCCAGAGTGTGCTGAGCCCGTGGGGCTGGGCACAGACCCAGCACCCCCCTGCCCCAGCCCGGGCTTGTGCTCCCTCCCTGAGCTCCCCCAGCGCTGGAGCAGCAGCAAAGCCTGCAGTTAAGTTCACTAAAGCATTTCTGAAATCACTTTCCCTGCCTTTGCTTCTACAAGCAGTAAAAAAAAAAAAAAAAAAACACATGACAATGCATCTCCCCTGAGGGCTGGAGTGTTTGAAATCAGCTCCCTGGGATCCAGGAACGTGTTTTAGTGCTGGAGGAGACCCGTGATACCCTGGGGAGAGAAATCCAGGATTCAGTTCTACCACCCAGGTATGTATTAGTATTTTTAAAAATCTAATATCATTCCACAGAAAACCTGCAGAGCTGCTGGAATTCAGCAGCTCTCAACTTGCCTCCAGTTAGAACCAGGGATGCTCAGAACTGGACCAGCAGCAGCTCCTGTGCTGGGTGTCCAACAAGGATGTGCAGCTGCACCTCAGACACGCTCAGCAACCTGCAGAGAGGAGCCTGAGGCCAAAAACGGGTCTGAAAGGGGGGAGAAAACAGCAAAAAGGGGCACAGGGAGGGTGGGCTGTGGGAGAGCTCGTGAAACACAGCACCAGGTTTTGCAAAGCACGCGAGGTTGAAACCCGTGTAAAGCTTCAGGGGAACATGTGGGTGCCTGATGCCTGTCTGGAAAAAAAAGACCTGTCCTAGCACAGCCAGGTCAGTCCAGGCTGGAACCCCCATCACTGGAAGTGTTCAAAGCCCTGGAGCAACCCTGTGTAGGGGAAGGTGTCCCTGCCCATGGCAGGGGGTGGAGCTGGATGAGCTGTGAGGTTCCTTCCAACCCAAAGCAGTCTGGGACCCTGTGAAAGGCTCATTTTGAATTTCACCGAAATGTCCATGTTGGAAACACAGAAATCTTCACGTGGTGAGGCCCTGGGTAAGCTCAGAGCATGAGTGACCTGGTGCTGATGGGATCCAGCCCACACTGGGGTGATGCCCTGCCCAGGGCTCAGTGCTGGACTGCAATGAGCCAAAGGGCTTCTACCTCTCCAGTGTGTTAGATTTGCAGCAATTTTCCTCTCCTCTGGCTGGGAGCAGGGCAGATGTCCTGAATGGGACTAGGGCAGATGCCCCTCAGCTCCTGCCCCATTCCCAGAGCTGTACAACAAGCAGGGAACTGAACCCTGAGCTTTGCTCTCCATCTCTGAGCAGTCAGGACAGACACATCTTCTCTGGGGGGACCAGGGACAGCAGCCAGGGAATGGCTGGAGCTGTGCCAGGGCAGGCTCAGG